GGTCACCAATTTTTAATCAAGTGCCCTCCAATTGTAACTGTTCCTTCAGATCGTTAATAAACCCATTTTTGTTGAACAATCAATATATTCCACCTTCTGGGGTGGGGTTCAATTTGATTCACTTAAATGGGCCGAATTTTAGCTTCGCTTTCCCATATTAATAAATACCCCCTTGTTCCACGTGTAAAATTTTTTCCCAAAAGAATATTAAAAAGACGATGAGGTATTTGACTTTATAAAGGCAGTTTTTACCACCTTTAGAGGCACTTAATAAACCTATAATCCTATTGAAGTTGTTTTCCCCAAGTTAGTCAACCGGTTTATTATACTTATATATAAGAAATATTTGAATTGTGAGAGTAGAAGAGATTTAAATAATTTTTAAGTTGAAAGGTTGAACTGGAATCTCCCTTTTTGAGAAACACTGGTTCTTGTTAAGAATTCTATTTTCTTTAGTATAGATAGATAGATTCCACGGATCTTAATAAGAATCTCGATAGACTGGGTATATCTTAATAATGACATCCTAGATACTGTTTCGATACTTTACTTGATATGCATCAACACTTGATTTTTCAAACAGTTTTTAGCTTCGATGTAATTACTTTGAAAAATTTACGATCCTTGCTTGACGTATCAATGTAACCAATCCATAGATAAATATATATCTCTCCAAACAAATTGTTTTTAACGATCGTTATGCATTATGACACGAAGGGATCACTTATTGTATTCGTTAGGTGGACACTCATTCTCCTTTTTCCTTAATCGATATATACGTCTAATATATGCAGTAAAGGTTCGAACTCGCTTTACCTTTTTTTGTTAAAGGATCTCATCAAATCAGTTCATATTAGAAGAACAGGATGAGATGCATCTCAGTTTAAACTGCAGTTAATAGATGAATAAGAAGAACAAGTCTAAAATATTTGAAAAGGGTGGTAGAAGGTTAATTTAACTAAGTTATGCCTTCTTTTGTAGATGCTCATTGCCATGTAAGAACTCCTATTGACGATACAGAGGACTCGAAGTTTGAAATAGGTAATGATGGAGAAATCATACGCTGTGTAATGTCTACCAACAATTTGGATTGGGAAAAGGTCAAGAGGCTAAAAGGTTGTGGAGATCAGATAATTCGTTGTTTTGGCATTCATCCCTGGTATTCCCATTTATTCAGTAATGGAGATGTTAGGAAAGTGGAACATTATGCCGATGTGCTTGATTACAAAGATGAATCAGAATTTGTAAAATTGCTGAATCATTTGCCAGATCCTATACCTATAGAACTTTATATTAGAAAAGAGTTCGATACAAATTCAGTAATGGTTATTGGGGAGATTGGATTGGATAAGCTTTTTAGATTACCTGAAAGCGGTTTTTACACAGATGGAGAACACCCGCTGTCTAGAGTCAAAGTTAAGATGTCGCATCAGATATTTGTATTTACTAGGATGTGTCAATTAGCCTCTAAATATGACAAACCTGTTTCCATTCACAACGTGAAATCTCACGGTCAAATGTATGATATTTGTAAGCAAGAGCTATTTAATAATGTTTCAATAAAAATTTGTTTACATTCTTATTCCGGCTCTTTAGATAGTCTTAAAAGCTTTTGGCTTAAGGAATATGGTGCGGATAGAATATATTTAAGCCTGTCTAAATGGATAAATTTTAAATCGTTAGAAGATGCTAAAAATCTAGTATCTATTTTACCAGTGGGTTCCATACTGACAGAAACTGATTATCCAATTGACACATTCTCTAGCAAAGAGCTGAAGGAAAAATTGCAATTTATTTGTATTCATTTACAAGAATTTTTAAAATTGGATTCAGTCGATGAAGTGAAAAGCTTGGTATTGCAGAATTTTCAAAATTATATTGGCCAAGAGTAAAACGATAATGGCATAAGAATTGATAATGATTAGAATATTGAAGCATAATTGATTTAAATCACATTATAATGAAAATCGATGGTTTTTCTTCATTACCTCAACTGCGGGATAATTAAATTTAACTTGATTTATTCATATTTCAGATAAGAAAAACGGATTAAAAAATCTCTTTTTTAAATTCAAATGTAATAAACTTATTAAACTGAATTTGACTATTTTTTGAGTTTGATGTAGATCTCATCCTTTAATTTGACACACATACATCAAGCTGTTTTATTCTTGGATTATTACTGTCACAACACATTGGGTTACCCTCCTCCAACATACGTAAAAGGAAAGCCTTGAAAATATTGGACTTATGGGAATTCATTGACCGGGTAACATTGGCACCTTTAAGTTAATATGTCAGTGACAGATCTATTCCATCAAGATCGTGGATTCCGAAATATGTAAGGATATTACATTTCTGTTACCCTAGGCTGCTTTTCAATGATTACTATTACTATATTATGAGGTATATTTTACCTATACCTTACCATGAAAGAAAAAAAATCAATCGAATATTATGATAATGCTAGACATCGTTTTGAGATAATTCTTACAGACCATCACATTATATAAATAATATTTAACCTAACTGTTTTAAATTTGACGTAGTAAAGGTATTAAGGTCTAGACATTGATCATTCCCATACCATACCATATTATATTATATTATATTATTCTATTTTGGTTTCTACTAACACTGTATATCATCATTTACCCTCACTATAGCTAACCGATTTGGCTTGCGCATTACTTCCAACAACCCGTGACGAAATCGATTCGAACTTGAAACGAATATCAATTAGATAAAAGGATGCGTACTAATTTACCAATCGATGAACGATTTATTTAACAGTTTTAGTTTTATTTAATGTATATTGTTGTTGGCACTGTGTTGATAAGAATTATCAGTTATAAGAGACACAGGATACTTATTTTGAAGTTGGTGATTGGTTTATTTAATTGAGAGGTCTCGCGATATTCTTACAATCCATTTGTGAATAACTTAATAGTATTTTTTTTTGATCTATACAACAATGGACTTTTCCACTATTACATTTGTAATGACTTTAGTCATTGGATTTATCCTGATTAAATGGTTTTTCCAAGGTGATGAACATCCATCTACTCAAAATTTGAACAATTCTCAAAGACAATCGAACCAAAATAATGAACAGCAGAGACAACCAAGGTCTAATAGACGTTTTAAAAGACGTGTTACAGATGATATGATTGAAGTCGTCCAAAGTCTTGCGCCATCCCTACATGTTGAACAGATCAGATATAGTTTGACACAAACAGGCTCTGTAGAAGAAACTGTCGAAAAGTTTTTAAGAGGAGAGGAATTTCCATTTCCTCCAGGTTATAGAGCTTCACCTTCAAACGATGATAATGATACCGCAGAATCTTCTGATCCAAGAAAGAAGAATAATATCAAACCAGATAATTTGTTAAGCAAATTTAATGTAGCTTTGACAGCCGATTATTCTGATATCAATTTTAAGGATTTAGACATGGAAGAAAGAAAGAAATATATGATTTGGCAATCAAGAAAGGCAGTTGAAAAAAAATTAAATGAGGATGAAAAGTTTTCATCTTTGGTGAAATGAGTTTGAAACCTAATGAAGAAATATACACCTTGGGGTCTATATTTATGGCTGTGTACATTGTAAATGTATTGGCAGAATGACAAGGTGGAATGTTTATTTGATGATAAAATGTATGCATGTGCAACGTATCACATCACATATTTAAAATTACATATAATATAGTAGTTATATCCGTATATATAAAGTAAAATGCATTAAACGAATATGAGTTGTTAATTTAAATATATATTGCGACATGAGTTCATTATGAAGGTGGTGTATCTTTTGGATTTTTAATAGGCGAATTAATTATCGTTACATCTGTGCTAGCCTCAGTGGCTTCCCCAATTATGTTATCAGAAGCCGTAGAGGTTTCTGGAGTTGGTGAAGGTAAACTTTTTATTACCTCCTTCTCTGATTTAATTCTAGATTCACAGTCCTCACTATTTATCCTGGAATGTAAAGCCTTCTCATCGCCTTCTTCATCCGAACTTGAAATATTGGTATCAATTTTAACAACCTCTTTTGTCTCCCCTTTGTCTTCCTCTTTCTTAGATTCTTTTCCTGAATTAAAATCTATCAAAATTGGTTGAACTCTTCTCTTATCTTTAACTGGTGAAGTTGTATTAGACTTTGAAGTTTCTGACACTTTAGTCTTCTTGGCATCTTTTACAGGCGAGCCCTTTTGTTTCCTCTTCACCTGTAAAATATGAACAATTTCATTTTTATTCTGAGCTATACTTGAATTAGTATTAGTTTCTGCTTTGTATGACTTAATTTCATTTTCTGGCTTAGTAAATTCTGCAATCTTTTCATCTTCCAATTTATCTCCAAATGCATCCGATGACATTGAAACATAGGAAACGAAACCATCTGTTGATGACACTATAAGTACCTCTCCATCTTTTGACCACGATAGATCTGTTAATGGAGTATAATGTAAATTGCCAATAACGGCAATAGGTTTTACAGATTCTGTGTCATATATTAGAACCTCATTTGAAGTGGCGACTGCAAATACCAATTTATAGGGAAGCTTACAATATGTATCATTAGAACTTGACAATTGATAAAAGTTTGGATTAAACGATATTACGATTGCAGGTTTGTTCAAAAATGGCAAACGAAGGACAGGTCTGTTGCTATTATCGTTTATAGACGATCTTGTATAAATGTAAACTGCATTTGCAAACTCACTGTTATTATTGTTAGTGGAAATGCTACTGTTAGTACCAGTGGTAGGATTACCATCAGTTGTTGAAGAAGTAGATGAGGAAGGTGGTTGTTGTGTATTACTTCTAAATATACCTGATGGGACACATAATAGATTACCACAAGGAGATATGGCTAATCTTCTAAAAAATGATGGTAAAGTTTCATTATGGAACAAATATGATGATTTCACGATTTCATGATTTAAAGTTCCATTCTCATCTAATTGCGGTAAGTCACCTTTTGATATTCTGTTTTTCAATTTCAAATTAGTAATTAATACTGGATCATTTGGATCAAATATAATTTCGTATATCGCTAATGATCTATCAGCAGATAAAGAGAAGATATATTTATTTAAAGGATCCCAGCTAACACCTTGGACGTAATGATTATGATCATTTGTAGCGAAAATTTGTTTTGTTGAATCTACATCAAATATGCGAATTGAATTATCCATTGAAGCAGCAACGATATATCTATCATCTGGAGACCAACAAATATCGTAAATTTCTGATATTGAAGCGGAATTAGAACGTAATCTTTTCCATACGTACCAAGATTCCTTGAAATTTTCAGAATCTTCATCACTTGCCAGCAAGATATTATTTTCCTTATTGACACCATTATTAGAGACTGTTTCATCATCCAATCTCCATAAAAGCAATTGACCATCGTCACCTGCAGAAGCCAATATATTTCCCAATGAATTGAATCTCACAACGTTAACAGCTTGTTCGTGTTGAGTCAAAGAGGATAAAAAATCAATAGATTCAATCTTAGAACGGTCGTCATTAAAATTCAATGACCAAATTCTAATCTTATTGTCACCACCAGCAGTGAACAGTTTTTTATTCGATGCTAGAGGTTGAAAGGTAAGACTGTAAATTGGCTGTGATTCATGCCAGTATATCTGTAGATTTCCTGCCTGAATCATAGTTGATCTTTTATTATTCTATCTCAGTTTATAAATAATTATGTAACTATATCGATGAATCAATACTTAAAATGTCCAATCCAAATTCAATTTAGCAATAATTAATAATATAATTATATATAGCATACCTTGAAATATCTCTTTAATCTTATAGATGGATCGAATAATGTGTAATGAATTAGATCAAAACGCGTTAAAAAAAATGTTTCGTGTAGCACTTTTTCAAAAAAAAAAAAAAAAAAAAAAAAGAAAAAAAGTTAAAGAACAAAATGAGTGTCTTGCCTATCTATCTTTATGCTATACACTATATCTCTATTATTAACAAAAAAGAAAGAATGAAGAAGATTGATTATATTTTAATATTTAGCATAAAAGAAATATATATACAACAACTTAAATGATATAAGTTTCAATATGTTGATTTAATTGACATTGTCTTTACTATACCTCTTATACGTTAACCCTAATATAAATGAATTATATTGCTATGTAACAACAGTTAAATTACCCTACCTCTATCCCACTATTGTCGGAATCGAATTTAACAATTGAAAATTTGTATATAAAATAAAATCAAAGAGAGATGATGTCTTATAACTATTTCTAATCTATAATTTATAGTTGACAATACTAATACTACTCTAGAGATAGACAAACATATCAATGGAAGTTAATTGTGCAATGTCTAATGATCAAGTGTGTCAGATGACGCTTTGAAGTTGTGTTTTTTTTATTCCTTTTATTAGACTATTGTAACAATGTTTTGCACATATGTCAAATTCCCAGCAAACTCAATCTGATATTTGTTGGAGCCGTAATTGTGCAGAAATAAATTTAATTGGGTTGATTCTTTCAAGAGTCAATCTGCCAGGTTACCTGCTAGTGTTATGCTAGATATCTATCTATTGATGCATAGCAAGCAGGCCTTGGTACATTGTTATTATTATTTTTTTATGATAAATCTTGCTATTTAACTCACTGTACTATGAAATTAATGAAACTTGAAAAGTCATGGGATAGTATAAAACAATATATTCTTAAACTTGATTTGATACTAGAGTGTCATTATTTACATTTCACAGTTGAAGTTTTTTTCTATTAATCTTTCAACACTTGCTATAATTGATTGGTTTATATTTACATTTTTAGCTTGTTTTCAGTTATAAGAGAGAATACTTCATAGAGGTTATGTTCCATGTTAGAACTATTGAGACATTTATAATTACTGGAACTACTCATTTAACTTGCAATGATATTTATTTAGGTTCTTCACATTTTTCATGTAGCTAATTACTAACTACATCTTATTAAAGTAATCTCGATTTGTATAAAACTGGGGAAATGATAGAGTGGAACCAACTAAAATTATTGAGGAATTAAGGTTCAAACGTAATTTATTTATATATATAACTATGGAATAAGTTGAATAAGTGTAATAAGTAACTTAGTAATAGTAAAATTGATTATTTGTCTCTTTGTATTATTTACTATAGAAAAATAAAAGTTTTTGTGTTTTGTTTAATCAAGATATATTTCGGATATATATTAAAGAAAATATAAATTTATGTCAACCAGAGACCAGCTCAATAAAACAGCCCAACCTGTAGTGACCACCAATCATGTTATTATAATCCTTGCAGAATTTCAGTTATTTAAGGGCGTGGGGTTCAAAATGTGAATATCCTAGTAACTCAGAGTAAAAAGATTACTGGACAAAAACATTTGTTGCCAATTCTTGACAAGAAAGGTTAAGCTTAACCAGATGTATCATATTTAATATTTCTTGATTCTAATTATACTGTCTGACTTTTTCATACGATTCCCTTCTTTAATAGTTATAATATTGATTCCTTTGAAATAATCAAAAGAGGTTTCCTGTCATATGGAACATTTGAAATTAGTGCTCTGCTCTCATAATTGCTATAAACACCAGATTGTTTCAATACTAGGAATTACTGAACCACCGTAATTCAAAACAATATTTTAGATGTGCCAAAATGTCATGCCTTTTTATACGTTTAGATCCAATATCATAATCTTAATATTATTAATTTATGATAATAAATTATGACTCCTTTGCACTTCACTTCTTATGATACGATTTAGCAATTACTTAGAAGGTCGAGTATGCCATTGGCGATCGATCAATTGCAATTTATCATAACCTTTACTGTCATAACCTTTACTGCCATAACCTTTACATTATATCATTAGTGATCATTGTTCTTTAATATTATTCGATCAATACATATAATTTATCGGATCATGATATTGTTCTAGACTCTTATAGGTATGTAACCTTTATCTCTTAGTTTATGACTATAATAATTGGATTAATGTTATTAGCGCAATAAATATCATTTATCACGTGATATGAATAACCTTGAAACCTATTAGTGTAAACCATACATTTTAGGTTACAACAAATTGTAGAGAATTATGTTGTAGTTTTTCTACCGAATCGTTCATAGTAATAGATTCTTTATTTATTTCCAAGGATATTCTTAATAAGTTGATATTGATCCGGTGTATTAAAGTATATAATATACACATGGGAATATAATTAACATGACAAGTATCAATTAAGATCTCATCATTTGTTATATAAAGTGTTGGAAAAGTTTTCAGCGTCAGTAATAAACTTTCGTGTAACGTAACATTTCTTTATCCTTTATGAATAATGTCGTAGTACGTCTAGATCACGTGTTACCTCATAATTCTGTCAATAATGATAATTATAATAACAATGAACAAAATTGGGGGTCCAGGAGTAATTCAATGCTAAATCTCACAACTTTCAGAGAAAATAAAGTGGCAAAGAAAAAAAAAAGTAGTCTTCTTCTTACAGAATTTAAAGCAACCAATTGTTTTATTTTCCAACAATTCGAAGGTCCCTTGGCCCAGTTGGTTAAGGCGTGGTGCTAATAACGCCAAGATCAGCGGTTCGATCCCGCTAGGGACCATTTATTTTTGATAATATTTTTATAAAACATCAAACTAAACTTGATCTACTCCTCTAACTACAGCATCAGGCAAAGTTATTATAACATTTACTTTTTAATCAATTATATCATAGGTGTAAACATATTTCTAAGATGAAAACAAACTAATGCAACATATAATTGAACCCTAAACCTTACCTGCCTGTATCTCCTTACAGTTAACTTCTTTATTTTAATTGTCCCATATCTATTTTTTTCTTAACAAATCTGTTGCGGTATCTGTCTGGCAGCAACATGAATATATCACGTGTACCTAATTTGTAGTCAGTCCCCTTCCTCGTTCAATTGAAATAAAGGCTTTTAAGACTAAGTTTTGTTGCAAACTTTAAGAGCAAGACAGATGCGATATATAGACAAGCTCATTGCTAGATATCAGCTATTAGTCTACAACTGTACCGCTATTAAGTTTTCGAACCTATCTCCAATTGACCATTTGCTGTACAAGTCAATATTTTTATAAAATAAAGATAAAGCTTTGGAAATTGCTTATAGTGTAATTTGAGCACTCATTCATTTCTCCTTTATCGAAGAATTGAAGTTAAGCTTAAGATTGAGGAAAATTCTTTTGTTTCCAGGGAATTTGGATAAGTATAATATTTGCAAGTTGGGAAATGTTATTATCCCAATGGCTTTTAACCACTTGCATACTGATATCCAGTTATGTTCATGCTGCTGATCAATTCAAACCAAAGGTTGTAAGAACTGAATCAACAGGTTGGTTTAATATATATCCATTTGACGACAGCAAGGTAATTTTGAAGAATGAGGATACTTTCTTGTCTATATCTGATAATAATGGTGAAACATGGAGACCAATAGAGGGTATTAATGACGTTAGGTGGAGTTGGATCGATAAGCTATACCCCAAAACTAGAGCTTTTGCAAACTCAAAAGTTGGTAATAAGATTTATATGACTGATGATCAAGGGAAAACTTGGACTACTGTAAAAATAAATGAAAAAGAATATTCAAATGGCAGTAAATCTGAGTTAAGCTGTAACTTAATTTCCCATCCAACTAAACCAGAAATACTCTTAGCAGAATGCTATGTTTGTGACTATGACGAGGAACAATCTAATGGAAGCATTACAAAGAGAGCTGTGTCTTCTCTGTTTGATAATTTTTTGAACAGCATTATGAGAGATCCAACTTGTCGTAATGAGGTTTTCATAAGTACGAACTCTGGCAAGGATTTTACAAAATTGAATATTGATTTGAAAGAACGGGAGGAAAGCAATCTGTTATATAGCACTCTGAATTGTCAGTTTGCCATCGCTAGTAAACAATCTAAAAATACCGAAACAGATTCTACAATATATTGTACTAGGAAACATTTCTACGGTCAAAAATTTAATGATAAAAATGAGGCTGATAAGACATATTTGGTATCTAGTTTTGTAAAGACATCTAATTGGGGAAAAACATTCGAAGAACTTCCAGAGCTTAAAGGTTATTTAGTTAATTATTTTGAAGCTTTCGATTCTCAACTTTTAGTTATAACTCAAGATGATGCATACAATAGACATTCGACACAGAAAGTTTGGATATCAAAAGATTTCAAAACCTTTAAAGAAGCACATATGCCAACGCAATTAAGATTTATGATAAATGGTTTAATCTCTGAAGACTCAGTTGGTAGACTAACTATGCCAATTTTGAGAACAAATCCTGATAAAAAGGACTCAAGTGATAAAAATGAAGATAACAAAAAAATGCACCATACAGACAGCGTTGTCTCAGACATTTTAATATCTGACTCAAGAGGTACAAAATTTACTTTCATTGAATGGATGAATAGTAACGATGTAACTTATAGACAAATAAGTTCTTTCAAGTATTTAAAAGGAACTCTTTTTGGACATACACAGGAATATCCCAATCTTGGAAATAAAGGGCCAAGCTTTGAAATGATATTGAGATCCAAGGTTTCTGTTGATAACGGTAACACATGGTCCAATTTGAAGATTGTCGACCCGGAGAATAAGTCTAAATATTCATGTAACATCGACATTCCTGAGAGCTGTTCTTTGAATATTATGTCAATGTTTGGTACTCCTGACTTTATTACCCCTGGTATTATGATGGTAAATGGTGCTGTTTCCGATGGACACCATGCATCTTGGAATGAAACAAAAACTTTTATATCTAGAGATGGTGGTGTTAGTTGGAAATTGGCTTTTGAGTTCCAAACCGCAACTGCATTTGGTGATCATGGGAATGTTATCGTTGCTGTTCCATATGATCCTGAGAGTGATGACGACCCACAATCTGAATTTTACTATTCTCTTGATCAAGGTACAACATGGACTGAATATCAGTTAGAAAAAACGATTCTCCCAATGCAGCTAATTAGCACTACGCCGGATGGATCTGGCCTGACGTTTATTTTAAATGGTTTAAGTATGGATAGCACTGGTGGCAGTAGATGGCGTTGGAATGACAAAAAGGAGACGAATTTTGTCTATTCAATAGATTTTTCTGATGCTTTTGAAGAAAAAGCTTGTGTTGATAGTGACTTAGAAAAATGGTATGTTGCTGGTGGAAATTGTATCAATGGTGCTAAATATAGGTTTGACAGAAGAAGGGCTGATTCCAAATGTTTAATGAGAAAGATTTATGATGATCTGGCATATACAGAAGAAATTTGCGAAAAATGTTCTGATGATGACTATGAATGCTCGTACGAATTTGTTAAAGATAGCAGTGGAAAATGTGTTGCTGATTTTGAATTATTGAGTTTATCTGGCTCCTGTGCTAAAGCTAAAAATGGAAAAATAAGTCTAAAGCCAAAACAGCGCATTGTCAATACTCTATGTAAGGTTGATATGAAAATTGAAGACGTTTTAGTCCCATGTACTGAAGTTGATTCCCCAGAAAACCCAGATAATATTATAACTGTATCTGAAAACAAGTTTGACAGTGCTTTACTGACCTACAAATACTTCGATACGGCTTCTGATGAATCCTTATTAATGATGACATTGGATAATGAAGTCTATGTATCTCATGACGGTGGTAAGAATATAAAGAAGGTAAATACTAATAGAGAGAAAATAGTTGAAATTGTGTTCAATCCTTTCTACAGTAAAGATGCATATTTGTTTGGTAGAGATGGAGGTTTATATATAACTCACGATCGAGGACAAACCTTTACTAAATCCCAATTACCCGAGACTAGACAATTGGGTTTAAAGTTGGAATTCCACGCTACAAAACAAAACACTTTTATTTACTATGGTGGTAAGGATTGCGATTCAATGTTTAGTGAAAAATGTCATGCAGTAGCATATATAACAACAGATGGAGGTGAAACCTTCTCAGAAATGCTAAATAACGGGATCCACTGCAAATTTTCTGGATCTACATTCAAAGATCCATATAATGAAGATCAAATTATTTGTCAAATATTAGATTCAAGTAATGGTAAAAAGAAATTAGTATCATCTACTAACTTCTTCAAGTCTGATTCACAGACTGAAACTCTTTTTGAAGAGGTAATTGGCTTCATGTCAACCGGAGAATTTCTAGTAGTCGCCTTACCTCATGGAGATGATGAATTAAGAGCATATGCCACTTTAGATGGTAAGGAGTTTGCTGAGGCCAACTTACCAAAAGATCTATCTGATATTAAACAAGAATCCTTTACGATTTTAGGTTCCGAATCAGGATCTATTTTTATGCATTTAGCGACAAGCCAAAATATCCAGGGTGAATTTGGGCGTTTGTTGAAGTCTAACTCCAATGGTACTTCATTTGTGTCATTAGAATCAGCTGTTAACAGAAATTCTGCTGGGTTTGTAGATTTTGAAAAGATTCAAGGTCTTGAAGGTATAGTGTTAATTAATGTGGTTGAAAATACTGATGAAGTTGAGAGAGGAACAACTAAGACTAAGAAGTTAAAATCAAAAATTACCTTCAATGATGGTTCTGATTGGTCATTTATAAATCCACCATTAAAGGATAGTAATGGAAAAAAGTATACCTGCTCAGGAAAGGGTTTAAAGAAGTGTTCTTTACATCTTCATGGTTATACCGAAAGGAATGATATAAGAGATACTTTCTCCTCTGGGTCTGCATTTGGAATGTTAATCGCTGTTGGTAATGTTGGTGAACATTTACTACCAAAAGATGAATGCTCAACATTTATGACAATTGATGGGGGTGCTACATGGACAGAGGTAAGGAAAGGCCCATTTCAATGGGAATACGGTGATCACGGTGGTATTTTAGTATTGATCCCTGATGGATCCGAATCGGATACTTTATTGTATTCAACAGATTTTGGTAAAACATGGATCGACTATAAATTTGCCGGAGAAAAAATTCAAATGAGGGATATTGTTACTGTGCCAAGAGATTCTGCAATGAGATTCTTAATAATAGGGCAATCCAATTCAATTAGAGGCGGTACCACAACTGTCTTTAGTGTTGATTTTTCCAAGATCTTTTCAAGACAATGTGTTTACGATCTCGACAATGCCTCGAATGATGATTTCGAGTTTGTATCATTCAATCCTGTCAAAAACCAATGTCTGTTTGGTCATCAAGCTGAATATTTAAGAAAAATCCATACAGACTGTTTTATAGGAAGTGCTCCGCTTGAGGAGTCTTTCAGAATTGTTAAAAATTGTTCGTGTACAAGGAATGATTTTGAATGTGACTATAATTATTATAAAGCCAACGATGGTACTTGTAAATTAGTCGAAGGGTTAACTCCATCTGATCCAAAGGATATATGTAAAAAAAATCCTGACGCTTATGAGTACTTTAAACCTACTGGTTACAGAAAAATCCCACTCTCAACCTGTGTGGATGGCTTAAATCTAGAAGGAACTTCGAGCCCATTGCCTTGTCCCGGCAAAGTGGAAGAATTCAGAAAAAATCACAAGATTAATGGAAGATCATTTTCACTACTATTCATTTTACCTTTCTTGATTCTTTTAGGTATTGCTTGGTTTATCTATGATCGTGGAATTCGTAGAAATGGTGGGTTTTCAAGATTTGGTGAAATTAGACTAGGAGATGAAGTAATTGAAGAAAACAATGTCGACAAAGCTGTGAACAATATAGTTAGAACAGGTCTTTTATTGACTTCAAGTGTTTTTTCGGGATTGCAATTGGTCAAAAGATTTATTGGTAAGAGCTTTCAAAGTTTAAGAGAACGTGTAACGGGTAGGAGAGGTCCAAGTTATACCACCTTATTCAATGATCAGTTTTTGGAAGGAGCCGATGACCTTTTGGAGGGTCATGATGAAGATGCAAATGACTTGACTAGTTTTTTATCTAATGACAATAATTTTGATATCGATACTGAAGATGACGGAAACACTTTTGCACCATTTAGAGAAGAAGCGAGTGAAGAGGACCATGGTCCTGTAACTGGAGACTCCTCGAATAATGAAGAGGTTTCTTCTTAATGACAATGAAGTCCACTATTAATAAACACTTTTCAAACTAAATAAAAGAGTGATTTGTATTTAATATAAATAAATTAAATAAAAAAATAATGCCTCCTTGATTAAATATTCCAGACTATCGTAATATAAATATATTAACTTTAGAGTGCCCGTGTTTTAGTGATCAATAAACAGTTCCAATAACAAGTATGTTGTAAACTTACAGAAAGTGTATTATTGCGAAGTTACCTTTATGAAACTCGATAGCCGATGTTGTTTCAGATTGTTGAGGTTGCCATTAAAATAGATTATGCCATATTTTTGTATATTATTCAGTAATAAAAAATATCACAAAGAGAATTAATTAAATGTATCTTTAGCTTAGCATACAGATCTCCACCATAAGACTCCCTTGAATAATCGTAGAACCATATTTAGGGTAACATATACCAAATTAACTGTATAATTAAATAATAACTAAAATTTATGAAAAGCTAGCCAATCAATACATCATTAAGAATTCACGTATTAACTTAAGTGCTTTAAGGATATGATGTTATTACTAAAGAGGTATTGTAATGTGACCTTCTTTTATTCCGTGCTAATCTTCATCTTAGAAAACAAATTATTCTTTCATATCTAAATGACAACTCTCTATATAGTTTAACTAATGTAATTGTGTAGAGAATTATGTTGTGGTTTTTCTACCGAATCGTTCATAGTAATAGATTCTTTATTTATTTCCAAGGACATTCTTAATAAGTTGATATTGATCCAGTGTATTAAAGTATATAATATACACATGGGAATATAATTAACATGACAAGTGTCAATTAAGATCTTGTCATTTCTTATATAAAGTGTTGGAAAAGTTTTAACGTCAGAAATAACACTTTCGTGTAACATAACATTTCTTTATCCTATGTGAATAATGTCGTAGTACTGTATTATTTGGCCTGTTTTTGTTATTTAATTGTATATTGAATTTGGTATACGTTAGAATGAAGGCTGGTAAGCGTTTATTCTATAGGATCTTAAGGGTTGAGATCTGTAAGTTAAAGTAAATATACTAGTTAATAATAATAAAGTTCTATATTCTTTTATGTACAAAGTAAGATACTAAATAATATACAATAATATACAATAATATACAATGATCTCTTTAAATATCAATGTTAATAGCATGTAACAACATTCTTGTAGTGACACATATTTCTTCACCTTCAAGGTTCGTATGAAGTAACCTCGAAGTAGTCTCGAAATAATACAGTATTACGACATTATTCATATAGGATAAAGAAATGTTACTTTACACGAAAGTGTTATTTCTGACGTTAAAACTTTTCCAACACTTTATATAAGAAATGACAAGATCTTAATTGACACTTGTCATGTTAATTATATTCCCATGTGTATATTATATACTTTAATACACTGGATCAATATCAACTTATTAAGAATGTCCTTGGAAATAAATAAAGAATCTATTACTATGAACGATTCGGTAGAAAAACCACAACATAATTCTCTACAAAAGTATTTGCTTCTGACGTGTCAATAATATCTAAACATTGTATATAAAGTCTGGTAAGATCTTAATTGACAATTATCATATGTACTATATTCCCATGTGTATATGTCAGAATTATGAGGTAACACGTGATATATACGTATTACGACATTATTCATATAGGATAAAGAAATGTTACTTTACACGAAAGTGTTATTTCTGACGTTAAAACTTTTCCAACACTTTATATAAGAAATGACAAGATCTTAATTGACACTTGTCATGTTAATTATATTCCCATGTGTATATTATATACTTTAATACACTGGATCAATATCAACTTATTAAGAATGTCCTTGGAAATAAATAAAGAATCTATTACTATGAACGATTCGGTAGAAAAACCACAACATAATTCTCTACAAAAGTATTTGCTTCTGACGTGTCAATAATATCTAAACATTGTATATAAAGTCTGGTAAGATCTTAATTGACAATTATCATATGTACTATATTCCCATGTGTATATGTCAGAATTATGAGGTAACACGTGATATATACGTATTACGACATTATTCATATAGGATAAAGAAATGTTACTTTACACGAAAGTGTTATTTCTGACGTTAAAACTTTTCCAACACTTTATATAAGAAATGACAAGATCTTAATTGACACTTGTCATGTTAATTATATTCCCATGTGTATATTATATACTTTAATACACCGGATCAATATCATCTAATTAAAAATGTCCTTGCAAACAACTAAACAATCAACTACTATTAATGATTCTGTAAAGAATCCACAACCCTCTGATTCTCTACATGGCTTCCCCGCCAGGACTTCATTCAAAGAAGATTTGATACCCAAATTTACTGGAAACAGTAACGTTAAATTACTATTCAAGATACAAGAAAGTACTTGAAGAAGAATTAACAAAATATTCTTGTTACTTCAAAACGAGGAAATTATCTAGAAGTAACAAGATATTAAGGATAAAATCTCATATCTGAGAAAATACATAAAGACGAAAGTCTATTATTATTATCCGAAATAAAGTGAAAATAGTCTATCTATTGCCACTTTACAGGGAGATACTGGATATAAACTCGAAAGAGCTTATAAATTCCTGATTAATTACATTATACAAATCAAGGATCCAAAGTGGATAAAACCCCTTGGATTAATTCAAATAACCTTATTCTAAAAAATGTGATTAATAAAAACAAACAGTCCGGTAACAAAACAGTCAGAGTTGTAACAAACTCGACTAAAAGGTCAACCTGATTACCATAATAAGGAAGACAAAAAATCTAGTTCATGATGACGATATAGATATGGCATAAATCATAGATAATAGAGTAAAATGATGAATAATCTTCACAGGAGGTGAAGTATAGAGCGAAATGAGAAATTATACAACAAGTAATCGATTGCTAATAGCAAATTTCGAATTAACGTGCCACTGACTCTGGAAAAACCGTTTAAACAGCGTATTAATATTACTAATAAGCAGGACAACAGATAGGTTTATTACAAACTGAGGCAGATGGTAAAAAGGACCCTCTCACACCCACGCGACAAATTCAGCCGTTTTTAGATTGACGAGATAAGGCAGAAGGTAAGACCTATACTCATATCTCAGGCATGATAAGCAACAAGGTTTCAAAGATGAGCAAGAGGCAGGATGTAAGACCTACACTCACACCTTAAGTATGATAAGCAACAAGGTTTCAACGATGAGCAAGAGGCAGAATGTAAGACCTACACTCACACCTTAAGCATGATAATCAACAAGGTTTCAAAGACGAGCAAGAGGCAGAATGTAAGACCTTCACTCGCACCTTAAGCATGATAATCAACAAGGTTCCAAAGATGAGCAAGAGGCAGAATGTAAGACCTACACTCACACCTTATTCATATTCGCAAACCAGGGTTTACAAGATGAGCATGCGGCATATATCCTCTCCTCATACCTGCGCCGACACCGCTATTATCAAATACGACTTAATATAATAGTAATAGACAATTCATTATTGTTGGAAATTCTTTCGAATATCTTACGTAGGCCAAGAGAGCCCAATATCGAGCCAACAATATGTCATTACACACTAATTCAGTTTAATCATGCACAAACAACTTGATATCACATTATCTTTCATCTAGACTGACGTAAAATGAGGACGAACCTCAATATGCATCAGTATCTTTGCCATATATATGAAGAAGAACTTCAATATGAATAAGTAACTCCATATGATATTCCTGAGGACGAACCTCGGAATGAAGATTCTCAAACTGACATAAAATGAAGAAGAATCTCAATATGCATCAGTATCTTTGCCAGACATATCTGAGAACGAACCTCAATATGAATCTATAAATTCACATCAAATTTCTGAGGACGAACCTCTGATTGAAGAACTATTTGTACAAGACGTATCTGAAGACGAACTTCAATATGTATCATTAACTTCAAGTGAAAGCTCTGATGAAAAAACCTCGGAATGAAGAAGTATCTGAATTCGAGACGCGTGTAGACTAACATCACACAACAACTGGATAGTGGTAAAAAACTTACATATAGATCATGCATTACCATATGCTGATCTACAGGAGGTGAATATATATACCACATCCGTATGAACCGAAGGTGGTTCAAATAAATAAAGCTTTATATGGTTAAAGCAAAGTCCGAAAGAATGGAATGATTACTTAAGAAAATATCTAAATAGTTGATCATTCTATGACTCGGAATATAAATCAAGTATCCATTTTCTAAAGATAGATTTACAGCTCGTAAACTAGAAAAACTATTAGAACAAGTTCGAAAGAACGTAACTGCTATAGAAAAAATATCTGGTTTATTTAATGTTACTGACATTTTAACAAAAAACAGTAACGCAAATTCAATTCAAGAAATTGTTTGAATGCTCGGAAAATAAGTTACACCCAGGAGACATTCTTCGTATAACTGAGCTAGGAGAATAAAAATCCAAGGACAAGAAGAAGATGTTGATGATCAGTTAAGAAGATCGTAAAAACATGTCTTTACGGAGGTG